AACAGATGATGAAATCAGGGATGTTGAGCATGCTTTTACAGCCAAAGCTGAGTTCATGGAACATGTTATGGGCTCCTGATTATAGAGGAAAAATGTCTAATTTTCTTTCACTGTCAGGGAAAAAAGAATTTTATACATTATAAGGTCTTAAGAGCAGAAAATACTTGGCTTGTATTGTTTGTACAAGAGAACCTTGTGCAGTTGATTCCTGATACTTTTTCCTACCATTAGTCCAGAGGCTTTGATCTCATCTTGTTTCGTGAGCCTGTTCCAATAGGGTGTCTCTGATACAAGCCAGATTTAACCAATGTTATTAAAATGGGCATATATATCAGCATGGTTTAAATTTATAGTATCTACATGTAAGATTTTATTAGCAGCTACTGTTGTATTCGGTTACTAGGCAATGGGAGATCTGCTTTGGGTCTGGAAGTAGTGTGTTTGTGTTAGTTGCCATACTGGACCTCTCAGCAAGGATTATTGTATTGGGTAAAGTGCCATGCTAATGTAGTTTTTCTACTTTTGAACCTCTTTACAATGTACTGTGGATTTATCTGTTCAGATTGGTGATAACTTTTGGATCTCTGTAGCATGCTTTATTTATTGTAAGGTATAAATCTACCCAGAGGCTTGTGGAAACTCAGTGTAGAACTAAGTTCAGAGGCTTTGCTTTTGGTATCTCTGTTTTAAGTAGTACTGCAGTATAAAGGAAAGGTAATTTTTTTCCCACTTTTTAAATGCATATACAAATAGTAGTAAAAATCCTAAAACTTCTTTGTTAAAAAGCCCTAAAAGCTGCTCACTGGGTTTTTTTTCCAACATTAGCTTAAAAATTTTTTATCAATATAGTTAAAATTATATAATACATACATATTTTAAAAGTTAAATGGATTAATTTTGACTAGTAAGCAACAGTTTGCTTTAGAAAATCTTCTCTGTGGTTGTAAATCATGATGTGTTATCTTTGTTACTAAGATCTATACTTTAACTAATAGGATGTATTCTGTTATTTTATGCTGCAGTGTATATTGCTTTAGAGGTTCATCTCTTCAGTGCTTTCCTATTGCTTAGCTTTGCTGAGAAGGGAAAAAGGGAATCCTTTAATGACCAACAGCATGTTATTTCCTTAGGGTACTTCCTCTTAATTACCATTCTGTTACAGTCCCAAGAGCGCAGGTTGTGCACCAAGACTTTGAAACATGGATTATATTTCTGTCTTGGAACACATCATGCTGCAATTCTCTTTCCTTAGGCTATAACATTCTATTACTACTTCATCAAAGGTTTAATTAAACCCATTAGTTTGCAGAAATTGTCTACATGCTTCAAAAATTATAATCGTTAACCTATTAAAAGATGTTATTTGTAATATTTTTCAAAGGTATTAGCTCTAATATAGTTTTAACTATTTCAGAGACAAAAATTAAAGTATAAAATGGAAAGAAACAGTTTTTCAGAGACAAAAATTAAAGTATAAAATGGAAAGAAACAGTTTTTATAGTAAGTGTTACTGTTTTACTCAACTGAGTGATGCAGATAAAATCTTTAGCCATGTTTTATTCTGCCTTCTCTGAAGATTATTCTAGAAAAAAATCCTTCTTGAGCAATAGGAAGATCCATTTATTGTGTGAAAAGGATTTTGTTAAACTCTGAGAAACTAGTTTTAAGACTTCAATTTTTTCATGAGGTAAATGTAACTTTACAGATGCTTAACTGCTTCTGATACTAATGCTTGTGATTCTTGGACATTATGGATGACCCCTGGATATACAGAGTTTTTAATTTGAATCTCCATAAGTATATTAATTCAAATTATTTGAGACAGTTCTTTACAGACATTGGGCAGAAACATCTGTTTTTATAGCCTCCCAGAAAACGTAACTTGCTAGATGAACGCACAGATGTAGTTTGTTAAAATCAACAAAATTAATTTTGGTGCAGATCTGTTCTGAAATACATTACATGGACATAAGCACTTTATTAAGAGAAGAAAATTTCATCTGCCATGTACGTAGAACCCCTGAAATATTTCTGAACTGTCATAAGGAAGAGGGGGACACCATCTTTCTGAATTCTGCAGGCGTTGGTAGTCATAGTAAGTCAGTGATGATTTGTACATAAGACAATGAAGAACAGTTGGTCACTTCAACAGACCACAGCCTGCATCTACCCAGAAGACCTCCAGAAAGAAAAAAGGGTCATCTTTCACTTATGTAGATCATTATCTAGGAATAATATTGGAAGTAATGGTACAGTTTTGTAGGAGTTGTGCTTCTCGGAGGTGATTGACTTTGGTTCTGGGAAGGTATGATGTCTGAGAAGGAGGGAGAAATCTACTTTGTTAATTGTCTGGTCTCTCATAGAAGGATGAGCTCAACTTTGCATTGATGAAGGCAGTTGTGGGCCCACAAATAATGTGTTAAAAAAAGTGGGGGAAGAAATGACCTAAAACTAATTTAGGTACTGATTAATATAAACTTCCAAATAATGCAAAAATAATGTTAGAATATGAAGGTTGGAAAGTCAAGTTCAAAAAACCAGTGAATGCTAGAATTGATGGTTGCATGGTCATAATTAAGTGCTTCTAAAAATTAGCTAAATTCGTCTTGTTGTAATGATGGATTTTTCTTTTCAGAGACAGATTCATGTTTGTAAACAATTGTTGTTCATGGAACAGAAGTGGTTGTCTTTTGATTTCTTAAATATGTTAAGTTTATTAACATTTGGACTACATGGAATTTTAACACTTCCAAATTAAACTTGAATCATTACCAGAAGAGACTGGAAGGAAAGCAATGACATTTCTTTTCTCTTAATAAAATACTTTATGTACAAAAATAAAATGCCAAATTTGCTCTACACTGTGTAATGTCAAGGCACATTTTTCAGCTTCTTCCTACTTAGAAACTTTCATAAGAGGAAGAATAGATAACTCTGCAGTTTATGTTCTAGTATAATTTAATTTATGTGACTATATATATGTGATTTATGCATCAGTTGTTTTATTGATAGATTTTTATTATTGCATAGAACATAAGAGGAGCAATGTGTTGCTAGTAATCTAGAAGTCACTTTAAATGAAGACAGTGAATATTTTAATATTTAAGCACTGGTTTTTGGAATGTAAAGTTTAACTTTGGAGAGTAAAAAAATAAAGTATGAATAATCTGTCGACAAGTGTATTCATATTACTAGTTGTTCTTGTCTTTGAGTAGATGTGCTTCTCCAATTTTCCTTTTTAAACATATTTGAAAAAATATTTAAAGGGAGAGAAATTGAATAATTTTGCTCCTTTTTTATTTCATTCTTTCAGTAGCGTGGGTTTGGTTTTTTTTCTGATTAGTTTTATTTCCTGTAATCCTGCATGAGTGTGATGATATTCTGATGCACTGCTTAGTGGCAGTTTTTATGGATCCTCTTCTCCCGTGTCCCACATCCATATTTCATTTGTGCCATAACTGAACTGCCATTGTTTGTATTCATGTAAACTCTCGACCCTCAAATGTGCTATCTGGTCCCCAACCTCAGGTCTCTCATCTGCTCCATTTATTTGAGATATGGATCACATATGGCTGCTTTTGACCCATGAGCCAGGTTCAAGGAATTCTGATATTTCCAGTAATTTCTAAATTTGTATCTGGTATACGGACAGCCTCTACTCTGTTCAGTTGTTTTAGAGACAGCGTAACAGGATAATATGGAAAACAAGCTCAAAATTTCAACCCACAATGGCAATGTTGTAGGCTCCTGAAATTGCAGGTTTTTTCTGATGGTATGAACTTGCTCTGCTGCTTAGTCAGTGGCTTGACAGAACTTCAAACCGGCAGAGTCTGTCCTGCCCCTTTCTGCCATTCAGGGGCTGAGAGTGCCAGGGTGCTGTTCTCACTTCACCTCCATTAATGCAGTCACAGACCTCTGTTACAGAGTTCCCCTTAGTGTTCCTTGGTTTAGGCTGAAGAATCCTAGTCTACTTAGTTATTCCTGTAGCAGAAATAATTCTCATTTTTTCATTTCCATTATTGTTGTTTGAATCCTTTTTTAATTATTCTTTTTCATAAGGTGTGCAAACCAGACTTGCATACAATGGCATATTTGCATCCTCTTTTGTGTTCTATTCCTTTGCTAATAATTCTTAGCTTTCAGTTTTCTGTGTTTCCTTAACTTGGCAGCATTGAGTATTTTACTAGAACTATAGGAAATACCTTGCTTCTGAATAGTAATAGTAATTTTATAATCCATTATTTTTAGATGTAAAATTAGGATTTGTTTCCTTCATTAATTTGCATTTATTAATATTTGATATGCCATATTTTGCTGAGCCACTCACTAGCATGGATGACTTCTGTAGCTCTTCATAGCCTGCCTTATTCTTCAGTGTCTGGAATACTTGCTGTCACCTGAAGGCTGCATCGCTCCATAAGTTACCTTATTTTCAGTGTAATTTATGAATTTTATCAAATAGCACAGATTCTAGTGGGGATCCTCCGGTGACCTGCTTCCTTTCCAGGTGCTGGCTATGACCTCCTTTTATTTCTAGTCTTTTAAACAGTATTATATCCTTTTCTTGCTAGCTTTGGATTTATTTTGGTGGTTGGTTGTGGTATTTTGGGCTTTTTTTTTTTGAAACTCTGATGATGGGCTTATTTTAAAATGTCTTTTCCTAGTCTAAGTGGATATTAAGTGGATCTCCTGCATCCCCAATACTTGTTGAGCTCTTCAGAGAATGGCAGTATACTGGAGATTATGTCCCACATATTATTGTGCCTTCTGTTTATAGTTTCTACAAACTTGCACATTATAGATTTTTTTTTTTTTAAATACATACACAAATAGCACTTTTCTATCCATCTTTTAAAGATGTCATCAAGTTGGTTGATTAAAAGACAGATTTGCTGCTTTGGATAGCAGCTATTCCATGATAGAATTCAATTCTAGACGGAGTGTATTTTTAAAATAGCATTGTTGTGACTACTGTTTTTTCTTTTTACATTTTAGCTGTCCCTTTTCCACCAACGCATCGCTTGACATCCGAAGAAGTGTTTGACACAGATGGAAGACCGAAGGTTGACATTTTGAAGAATCACTTGATAAAAGAAGGTCGAGTGGATGAAGAAATTGCACTTAGAATCATCAATGAGGGTGCTGCAATATTGCGGAGGGAAAAAACTATGATAGAAGTTGAAGCTCCAATCACAGGTAATATTTCTAGATCATTTCATTCATAATTAAATTTGAAGAAAGCCAGATTTTTTTCAGTGGTAGAGTTTGTCTTAAAAATTGCTAAAATGAAATTTCTATATAATTTATTGAATTATCCTTCACAACTGTATTTGCTTAATAGTATTCAAATGGTCTGAAAAAATATGCTGCACATTATTTTGCAAAATGAAGGCATTAAACCTATTGGAAAAAAATTGTATGATTGGTATTAAAATTACAAAATAGGAAGTCGTTAAATGCTGATTTACGTATTTCTACTTCCTGCAATGTTGTAAGTGAGAATAAAGACGTCTAGCTGGAACAGAAAAATGAACTCAGAATTACCCTGAAATCTAAATATGTGAAGCGAAGCTAGTTGCTGAGGTCTGAAGCAAATACTGTGAACTGTAATTCTGAATGAAAAATACACCTTTATAGTTTGTCTGTTGGTGAGACTGATGACTGCATGTGAAACCACATTCCTTGTGAGGGTAGTAGTACTGGAAAGTGTCGAAAGATTGTTTAAGCATCTTTAACAGACTACGACCAGACCCACTGTAATACAGAACTGACTCGGTGTTTTGGAGTATTTTCATGGTTTGACTGGTTCTATTTCTGTTTGACCTGGAGAAAGGTGGAATTGCTGTGCTTTATTACTTTTATTTATAAACAATCCAGACTCCCAGGAAATAGTTTGTTTAATATCTGTTATTTATAATAATGAAAGTAGATTTGATTTTTGTGTTCAAATCAGATTTTTTCATTTGAATATGTTTTCTTCTAAATGGACCTATATAAAATTAGCTTAAAAGCTTATTTTAGGACATTTATTAAACATTTGAACAGTCCATCATTATTATTAGTTTAAAAAAAAATGATAGAAATGGTGGAAACCACTAAGTGACTGTCTGAACTCAGTGTCTTTTCAAGCTCCAGATAAAGCTCAAAACTACAGTGTTGTCCATATGTTCAGAACTTTTATTTTTTTGTTTATTCAGGCAGTTACCCAGAGCTACTGTATATTGGCAGCTGAAAAAGAAGGAAAGTTCTTCCACTGTTTGAGTAGAAATCTTAAGAAAAGTGACATAAAAGAGGGCCCATTATGTGTAGTCTAGTATCTTGTAGGTCATGATGACAAATGGTCTGCTCCAAGGGAATAACAACCTTTAAAGTGTGGTGTGCCATATCCAGTGTCTCTTTCCAAAATTAGAACAACTTTTTTCACAAAAAAAAATTTACTGATGAACTCTGAGAAGTTGGAAGATGCTGTTCATCGGTTGATCGGTGACATTTTGCATCAACAGAAGGCATAGTCTCTCAAATTCCTGTTAAACAGCAATACCTTACATAGAAATTAGAAGGCAGCTCCTGACTTCCATTGAGCTGGGAGCTCCTCTGAGAATGAGGAGTTAGGAGCAGTTGGTTCTTCCCTACATTTTTAATTTATTTATTTTTTTAATTGTGAGATGACCTGGCTTTGCTGTGTGCTCTTCAGAGTCTTCCCATCTGCTATCTTTGGCACTTCTGCCTTAGGTTGCTGACCAGTGGTCTTGTCCTGTCTCATATTCTAAAAACACAAGAAAAATCCACTGTTGAAATAGTGAACATGGTTATTTGAAGGAGAAAAGTAACTGAGCAAAGAGAAGATATGATAATATTAAAAGGTATGTTAGTCTGACTTAGAAACGAAAGCATACTCCCTGCTTTTTTCAGTCCCACATGGACACAGCGAATTGTTGCAAAGCAGCAGGCATTTTAAAATACGCATACCAAGGAGAATTTGTAAAGATACCTAAGGGGTTGGGGGAGGACAGTAAAGAGCTGCTGACAGTTTTCAAGTCCTCAATGCTCAGGGCATTAACTGTCTTTGAAAAATATTCCACAATCTGCTAGACTTAAGTAGGGCTATCATCAATCAGCATTGTCACAGGTAGTGAGTACTCTGAAAAGCAAAGGGGGAAGCTTCAAAAAGTTTTATTCCTGCTTTATACCCGCCTTTCCTCTTTATTAGAATACTTTGTGGCTGTTTACTTAACTGTAACTTAGTAACTTCTCTGTTAGATTTTTTTTAAAAATTAATTTGAACAAAATTTTTGCTTGCAGTGTGTGGTGATATTCATGGCCAGTTCTTTGATCTAATGAAGCTGTTTGAAGTGGGAGGATCACCTGCTAACACAAGATACCTCTTCCTCGGTGACTATGTAGACAGAGGTTATTTTAGTATAGAGGTAACTGAATACATTAATCTGTTTTATCCTAAATTTTTCTATAAGCACATTTTCACAGAGGTTTTCAAATGAAATTTTAGGTCTGCTTTAACATGGGAATGTGTTCTTCCTTGCTGTGGTTTCTCATATGACAAAGGCCTGTTTACAGGAGGATGTTGACAAGCCATTTGGACTGTCTGTTGCAATCACCAGACTTACTCATTTTTCCTCCTCCATCTTTAGTTTTTTAAAAGTTGAATTCTATAGCATTATTATACGTAGCCCTGCTTCTCTGGTAATACACAGGAAGGTGTGTTTGTATGTTTTTGGAGAACAGGTAAGTCATGACTGCAAGGTCTTTTAATTTATTTTAGCTGTTTATCTGTATAAAATAGATTCATTTTACTTATGTAATCAAATGTTTTAAAGTAATTATTAATATTTTTTCTTTACTGAAATTCTGAGGGCGATTACAGATATTCACTATGGATGACCTGTGATTCTGCCATTTATTTTTCAGGTATTTTGAATTAAAATAATTTTTTCATTTTCAGCATGTTTATTAAGTATGCTACATTCCAGAAATATTCACATATTCATAGAAATTAGTTTCAGGGCTATGAAGTTTAATTTAACTATTCTTCTGGAGCCAGCTTGGGAAGATACCAAATCTAATGGAGTGGCATAACATTGGAAAGAGTATTTTGCAAGTCATGTTGTATAATACTTAATTTCTGTATTAAAATTATGCTGTTCTACTAACATGTGTGGGTATATACTGTGAAGGGCACGCACAATGCCTTTTGGAGTTGTTAGGGATGGTAGACAAACAGGAGATGGAGCAAAAGTGGTTGCCTCAAAGTCATATATAGGGAAAAATTTCAACAGACATTCCCTATTTCTTAATATGATCTTCATGGCCTGTTCTTGATGATTATAAATAATGTTATTGTTGTTGAAAAGGACATTTGCATAGCAGCAATGTATGTTAATGTATCAAAACAGTATGAAAGCTTTTCAATCGTTACACTTACAAAAAACTTTTCAGCAATGGGTGTTCTTGAATATATTAATAAGAAAGGGCTCTTTTTGTTTCCTTATATGATTTTAATTTAATTTTACTATAATATCTGGCATGCTAAATATACTTGCAGAATATGTAAAGATATGCTAAATATACTCTTGAAAACCACTCCAGAATTCTTAAAAGGCTTGTCTGTCTTCATTAAGATAATCTGCTCTCTTCTGTTCTGAGTGGCTGTTGGAACACCAGTGAAGTACGTGACAGATTATCTGAATAAAGTTGGATTGCTGCAAGTGCATGAAGGTGGGGCTGTGCTTTGCAGTCCTGTTGAGAAAGAAAAAAGTAGTACATGAAAATGAGCCATTTTTTCTCCACTTCAGCCTCAAAAAAAATTTCCTACTTATGTTTTTGCCTTAATTAACATTTAGGAAGTTTAAGGTGACCTCCAGGAGTTTTCATAAATGGCTACTTTAAAATCTTTCTTGGTGATTGGAAATGTGATATGCTTTTGGTAAAAATTTGACTTTTCACAGAGAAGTGAAGGTGAAATTTGATTTTCACTAATAAATTAACCAGTCTGTCCTGAAGCATCTTTAATTGTGTTGATATTTTAGTAGTAAAACATTTCCAATTAAAAATGTCATCACTTCTAATAGGAAAGATAATTAAATGCTACCATCCATGATTGTTTGTAACAGACTGCTGGGATCAAGATGGCTCCTTCACATAAGTGTGTAAAAATTCTTCTTTTCTGTACTGGAATTAACAGGACATAGAGAACTCTCAAATTATTCTGTTTGTATGTAATAATAAAAATAAATATAACAGTACAGAAGAGGTAAAAACAGTAATTCTTTTTGTACTTAACAGGTAACCTGCTGGAAATTGTGTAAATCTCAGCAATTTAATCAAATGTAGTATCCATTTACTGAAAGGAAGGCACTGTTTTGCCACTTTTCTATTACGTGTCTTTAAGGTTGCCAGCTTTTATAAATTTTTTTCATACAAACTGACTTAACTAACAGTTAACTATGGTTCAGAATTGTAGAATTTGCCAAATTAATTAATGTGTTCCTTTGATGATAAGCAGTTATTTTTTAAGAAACTGGTTATGCTCTATGCTGGGAAACAGTTTTAAAGAGTCCAGGGACTTTGCAATGTGTCAGTGTATTTTAGAGTTACAGAAACATGGGAGAGCAAGTGGTATTAGAAAAATTATTTTGCATATTTTTACTAAGAAGATAAAAATTCAGTAATTAGTTTAGCTAAACTTCGCAATAGAAGTCTTTGATGTATTCCTCCATGTTTGCTGTGTTTAAAGTGTTCCTTTGTTTTCTTTCTTCCTTTGTGTACTTACTATTCTATGCAAAGTTAAGTGTGCAGAATGATAGCTTCAGGGTACTCATATTGCTTAAGAACAATAATAATAACAACTTGTAGGTGACTTCAATATAGTCAAAAACTTCAGTGGTTTTGAGATTTCTGTGCTCAGTTAAAAATCAAGAATCAGATTTGAATTTTAAGAAGTACAGTTTGGACATTCAGGACTGCTGGATGATGACAGACTCTACACTGAAAAAATTGTGTGTATTCTGTAGCTCCATCCTCAACTCTGTTTGCTACTGATGTAATAATAGTTATATATGGAAACTTACTATCAGTCTTTGAATTTTCTGCTTGAACAGTGAATAAACAGCCAGCTTTCCCAGTTTTTTGGGGGTAAAAAAGGTTTAGTCTATCCATTCTTAGCTTAAAGACAGTGTCCAGATGATATAGCTGACTTTAATGTAAATAGTTCTGTGGGTGTTTTTCCTTCAATCTCTATTAATAAATGTTTGCTTTCCTTTTTATGGCAGCGTTTAGAATCGTATTATCAAATCAGATTTTAGGCACAAAAATGTACATTGTTTGACTAAACTGTTCTGCAGTATAATCCTGATGAGTTTGTTTTATTACTGAGTATCCAGTAAATATAAATATTTTTTCAGCATTCTGTGCTGTTGTTCTTAAGAAAAGTAATAAGCAATTTGCGTAACTCACGTCCAGAGCTGGACTCGGAGAAATAGTGCTGTATTTTAAAATGGCACATTGAGCTGTACTTGCTTTTGAAGCTGTTAACATTCTTACTCAATGTTTCTCAGTAATAATTTTTAAAGTTCTTATAAACTAGTGTATTTTACTGGATATCTTTGTTTTTCAACAGTGTGTGCTGTACTTATGGGTCCTAAAAATTCTCTACCCAAGCACATTATTTCTTTTGAGAGGCAACCATGAATGCAGACACCTAACAGAGTATTTTACCTTTAAGCAAGAATGTGAGTACTGTCTAAGAATGTAAAATTAGCTTATTTCCAACCTGCTGATCTACCGTCTGTCATTTTGCTTGAGATATTTTGTCTGTTAGTTTAATTAAGGTCTAGTAAACATTTGGAGGCCCCATTGACTTCTGTAGAATTGCTTGCAGTTAAGTGTGGTATTGGAGTGCAAGTTATGTAGAAGACTGCTGCTTGTAAAGATTCGTTATAAACTTTGATGTATCATCCTGATTTTAAAACCCTGGAGAGTGGAATGTTTTTCTGCTGTCTTGGCTATAATCAGGAGTACCAAGTAACTTGCTGAGCTGCATTGTGAAGCTAGCAAGAAAACCTTTCTGCTGAGTAATTTTTCCACTTGGGGAATTGATTTCAACTATGTTAGTAAGATAACTTTTGGTAATATAAGCTGCTCCTCCATTTGGAGGCTTGTATAAGCGTTGATCCAGTGATAAATGGATCATTTGCCCTGGTAAAACCCTCTTTGATGCAGGTAAAAGTGAGGTAATCTATAAGCAGTTCTTAGCTTTTCAGTGTAAATGAGAAATCACAAAATTCTCATTAATATTTTACACTGAAGTATGCTGTGTTATTGTATTATGCAAAATAATTCTGTGATTTTTTTTTTTTAATACAAATTGTTTCTTCATACTTGAGATAACAGAAGAAGAAATCACAAAAGTTTGTAGTTCTGGAAGAGAACATGTCTCAGAGATGTGCGTGCTGTTGTGGTGTTTGGAAATGCTCATTTAAACCCAAAAACATTACTTGCTTTGGGGTTTTTTTAAGCATTCACGTTAAGATTGATGCTTATAATTGTGATGCACCAGATTACTTCTTCCATCAAATATATATTTCTTAATGTTTTATGTTTTATTTCCTGCAGGTAAAATAAAGTACTCTGAAAGAGTCTATGATGCTTGTATGGAAGCTTTTGATTGTCTCCCTCTTGCTGCTCTTCTAAATCAACAGTTTCTTTGTGTTCATGGTGGACTTTCACCAGAAATTAATACACTAGATGACATTAGGAGAGTGAGTATTTTGTGTATTCGAAAACAAGTGGAAATACAGATATTTACATGATGCTATATAAAGTCATGTTTGTGAAATTGTCAGTATATTGTTTTCTGTTCTCTCGTTTGGAGGTGTAAATCAGGAACTGAAATGTAGATGAAGCGGTATCATAATTGAAAACTCTTGGATCATCTAGTGCATTTTCCATTAGTAGATCTCATTGAGACAGCTGGGACTGTTACAAAACACACAAAAAAAATACCCTGAAAAACTTCACATAGTTTCCTGAGACAGGTAGTACATGTAAAGAGCTTCATATCAAATTGGAATAGTGCTTTTTGTTTCTTTCTAGATAAGAGCTAGCATTCTTAACGGCTTTCAGGACAAAACTCATAGAAGTTAATTGTAGTCTTAATATTGTTTGGTATATCAAATGTTATATTTCAGTTTTTCTTGTATTTCTTTGAAAACTTTTTTTTTAAACTCTTTTGGTTTTGAAAGACTGTGAAATTGCAGTATTTAATAGAAATTCAGGTTGCTGTTTAAAATGACAAATTTGGTAGGCATTTGAGTAACCACTGTGGAGTGCTTCTCACTGCAGTAAATGAGCTGAGTATATCAGTAACAAGAATGAAAACAAGTTTTAAGAATTATACAACACAGACACTAAATTAAATTGCACAGTGATGTGCAATTTAAAGGGAGAAAGATTGTGATGACATGAGGTATCTGTTTCTAATAACTTGGTTTCAGCTTGCGTGGGCTGCTGATGTCAGGTGAAGATTGTATCAGATGGGAATTTTCAAACTCAGTCGCTTTTGTTTTTACAAACTTCTTTTTGACTTATTTTAGTTAGCTGACATCTTGACTGCTGCATTTGGAAATCAAAATCATTCCTGTTATGATTAATAACAGCTAAACAGTAGTTGATTTCAGCTTAAAATATTAATAGGTGGTTCTAATAAAGCTTTGGGATTATAGGTAAGGATAGAAGAAAAAAGTTGTTCATCCACATGTGGAAGAAGGTATGTGGGGGCCTATTTTTTTTTTTTTAAATCTGAATATCAGAGAGAAGAAAAAGTATGTTTGTAATTTGGTTTTATAGTATATAATTATTGATGGCTCATTTTGCCTTCTGTTTTCATTTATTGTATTTCTCATTTTCTTAGCATTTTCTCCATTAGTTGTGTTCCATTTTTCTTTTTTTACCTCTCCCTCTCCTCGAATTTATAGGCTGCTGTCCTGTTGAATCTCATTTCTGAATTCACCAGGGTTTTTTTGTACTGACTGGACCACTTCAGAGGCTGGAATGTCAGCTTATTTCACTTACAGATATTACACTGCCGAGCAGAATGATGTGAGAGGAGAAGAAAATGGAAACAGAGAGGAAGCATATTTACAAGCTCAGTGGTGTGAGTGGGAAAATGTACTGAGGCACACCACATTTTCAGAGCAAATACTGACGTGTACAGAAATCTATATGCATTGTGCAGAGAAAGAGAAGTAAGAAGGTGAAACAAGTAAACGGTGCCATTCTGACAAGGCCATAACACTTCTTACATTACAGATGAAAAGAAACATAGTCAAAGCTTTTCAGAAGGTAGTGTAAAGGAAACATAGTCTGGAAAAACACTTTGGAAAGCCACTCTTATAATAGGATTGTGATTAATTTTTCTTTTAGTCTCAGTCTTACAGATAATCAGGTTTCAAAGTGTCAAGTAAATTTAATTAAAAGGTAACTCTGTCATCTTGGCCTGTGCTTTCATACATGTTTCTGTTACGCTCAAGGCTACATTAGGATGAAATGTAAGCTTGTATGTTTGTATATACATATATGAAAATCTGCATTGCATATTGCCTCTGATGAAAACCACATTTATAAATGTAAGACAGTGTTATTAGAACTGTTCTTTGGGCCTTTTTTGTTTTCTAAAGAATCATCTAGTAACTCAGAGAAGGCACTATTCATGGGTTGGCAGCAGCTTCAATAGCTGCATTAGAGCTTGGCATGCACTGATATTGTAAATGTATTTAAATTAAATGGGCGATGTGAAATGCTCTTTTTATGTCTAGGAAAATGTCGTATACTTGGGGTACAAGTGTGGTGTGTGAAATGACTTTTGTAAACAGTTGAGACAATTGTATATTACGAGCCTTCTGCTTTATTAGCAGAAGTTCTTATTAAGGAGAGGTCTTCTCTGCAAACGTGTAGGCATAGTCATCTGGCATAAGAAGGGAAATCACAACTGTATAAATAGTATAGGAATCACCTAAGAAAAGAAAGTAAAAATGCATATGCAGTTTCTTCTGGATGAAGTCTTTTGTTAGTAATATTGACGTTAAGGAAGGTGATTAAACTACACAAATTAAATTATTATTTTTGCTTGTATAAGCCTGTTTCCAATAGAGGACGGCCATCATGGTAGCTACGATGGTAAAGCCTAACCAGAAGGATAGCTACAAGCGTTTCTTCTTTCTGAGAAATGGAAGTTTGTGAAACTTGCAGTAATCTGATTTTTATTCTCTGAATTTTGTTTACAGAAATGTTCTGATTGTATTAGTAAAGGGTGTCTCTTTCAGACACATAGAATCATGGAATATTTAGTTGTATTTTAACTTCATTAATTAATTTAATACATAAGAAAACCTTGGGAGAAATTTTTTGAAAGAGAAAGTTAACACGAGGAAGGACAATAATTCTTATCTCCTCCATACGAGTGTCATAGAATCATAGAATGGTTTGGGTAGGAAGGGACCTTAGAGATCATTGAGTTCCAACCCCCCTGCCACGGGCAAGAACACCCTCCAGTAGACGAGGTTGCTCAAAACCTCATCCAGCCTGGCCTTGAACACCTCGAGGGATGGGGCATCCACAACTTCTCTGGGCAACCTGTTCCAGTGCCTCACCACCCTCACGGTAAAGAATTTCTTCCTAATATCTAATCTGAATCTACTCTCTTTCAGCTTAAAACCGTTACCCCTCATCCTATTGCTACACTCCCCGATAAAGAGTCCCTCCACTTAGAGATGCTGTTTAGATTATTTCATTTACGCAGCCAAGGCTTCTGCTGAAACAAAATTCCAGAACTGTGGTTTTTAGCTTAGTGATTTATAAGGAGGGAAGTGTCCAGATAAACTTATGGGGACTCTTAATTTAAAGGAGACAGAATTTTCTTCCTCATTTACAGCAGATGGTCATTCTTTTGTTTAGCTCTTGGTGATACTAAGGCTTGATCAGCAAAGTACCTTGAAATACATGGGGGCACTACTGGGAATCTGTTTTATAATACCTTACTTCCTTTCTGCAGGCTGATCAAATTTCCTTTTCTTTAGTAACATATGACTTCCACTCTTCACTGACCTTCACTTTGTTGCTAGGGCTTTACTGTGTGATAGTTCTCAGAAAAATTAGGACATTAATTAAAAGTGGTGTCTGTATCTTCAAGTATGTGAAACATCTGGGAAGGTCTTTTGCCTCAAAAGTAAAGTAATTTTAATTAGCTGTACCTTAATCTACCTCCAAGGTTTTACTACTCCTGAATTTGAACATCCGTGTGGAGGTTTGATGCACTTCAGTTTAGTAGCCCTGACTGCATAATACCTATAAATTAATCTAGACTTAAATATCTTAGGTTATGTATTAAAAAATATACTGCCTGTTTCTTTTTTAACACCAAGTGTAGTGATTCTTATTCTTGAATAAAATTGTCTTTCTCGGTTAGCTTAATCATATTTAGAAATACGTAAAGCAAATTTGTATGGAGATTCTGTTTTACCATAATCGCAATATATTCAGAAATAGTTGATCAGAAACAATTTTTTTTTTAATTGACTCGTGTCCTTTGTTAATTTTCTTGCTGTCCCAATGTAGAGAAACCCTTAAGTTGGTAATTCTGATTTCATATGTGCAATCTGGGTTGAGTAGCTTGCAGTGACATTTCCTTAAATTTTGAGATGTCTTGAGAACCATGCCAGTTTGTAGACTGTCTAGTGAAGGAGGCACTGATTTGGTGTGTAAGTATATTTATTTTTTACAAACTGACATCCTTTCTTCAAGAAATGGCTACATTATTGTTCCAGTGCTATGAGAAAGTAGTTTGGGAGAGAGGTGTGTTGCTTGCAGAAACCAAAACTTTTTATTTATAATGTCTCTGTTCATTTGGCCAAAGGCATAAGGAAAATCCTTGAAGAATAACTCAAGAAAATTTCTTAGAAAAGCTTTCTAGACTTTCAGCCTTCTGTATTGCAGGAAACATCAGTCGGCAAAAAGTTCTATCTTCCTTGTGTGAATGCTTCTGTTAGCTTCTGAACCCAGATTTATTGCTGGAGGTTTAGAAACTTGATGGTTTAATCTACAGAAATTCAGGTACTTGCAGAAGTTGATGGACTCACTTCTTCAGTCTGGAAGAAATAATTCCGGGTTTATCATCCAGTATGGGAAATGTTAAACCACTGGATTTTTACTATTGAATAAATTCCAAGAACAGCATCAGTTAATACCTGCCTTGCCATTATCTGGCAGGAATTTGTAAAGATCTGGACCTCTCCACTTATGTTACAGGTGGCAGCCTCGGGAGCTCTGATTTTCCAGGGCATTGAGAGAGCTTGACACTACTGCTGGTTCCATATTTGAATGGATTCCTATGGACCGTTAGACTCAAATTCATGAGGTGCTCACCAAACCTCCCTTCGAACCTGTCATGAAGAGTTAAGTGTTCTCTAGTATCATCAAGGTCATCTTTGGTGTGGGAGGTAAAGTGAGATAAATGCACTGTCCATCAAAGAACTGTTCCTACATTTCTTGGATAAAATCATCTTGTGAACAAACTCCAGCTACTTAAGAATCAAATAAACTTTACATTGAATCTGGGATAACTAATTTCATTTCTGGGACATCAGATATTGATTGACTGTTACTAAGCAGTATTTTCCTTTTATGTTAACAAATGCGCTGTCCTCCTTACTTCTGCCCCTTTTCAATGTGGTTTCTGGGAAAGTTGCAGGCTGCCAAAGCAGGTGTTTCCAAGTGGAAATCTGTAAAGAAGCAGCTAGAGAAAAGAAAACAAAAATATCTCCCAAAATGCTTACAGCCCATTACACCAGGGCTATAGCTGTGGAATAAAGCCTGTATGAAAGAAGTCCAAGATGGCTAAGCTACTGACCTCTTCATTACATTGTTAAATGATCCGTTATGGAGACAGGTGTTTCAGGCATTTTTTAATTTGTTTGTGTTTTTTTTTTTAATTTATATATTTAGTCTCTTCTAGTCGGTGCTAATTATTCAGGCTTTCCATTTATCATTCCTGTTTTCTGTACTACTTATCTTTGCTAATTCCTGGTAGTGTTTCCAGATTGGTAGATATGGCATGTGCGTGAGAAAGGACCATTTTGTTCCCTGTCTGTAACTTGACCTTATATTACGCATATCCATCAGTCTGGAATTTATCTTCCTTCTTTTTACAACTAATAAATCTTATTGCTCCTAACAGGTTTGGTTCTTTTGGCATGCCTCTGCCTTATTTCATGAGGAGGAGAGGAAAAAATATACAGAAACTACTTCTCTTTGATATGGTTGGGATTTATTCTAGAAACGCTTGGTGTTGATGGATATGTAGTTTAACAAATGTGTAAAACTTACTGATTTAATAGTCACAGAGTCGTTGTATTGTTGCCTTTTCTCAAACAGTTAGATAGATTCAAAGAGCCTCCAGCATTTGGACCAATGTGTGACTTACTATGGTCAGATCCTTCAGAAGATTTTGGAAATGAAAATTCACAAGAGCATTTCAGTCACAATACAGTCAGAGGCTGCTCATACTTTTATAGGTGAGAGTACGCTGTGATCTGTTTGATGTTTTAATGCTGAGTCTTGCTGCATGTTTTAAGATAATTTCTTTTACTCACAGTTGTTTTCGTTTCACAGCTATCCAGCAGTTTGTGAATTTTTGCAAAATAATAATTTGTTGTCAATCATTAGAGCACATGAAGCACAAGATGCAGGGTAAGTACTTAATGTCCTTCAATAAATTATTGACAGTGTAAAATATAAATTAATTGCTTATTGCTGTAAGATGTAAAATAATCTGTTTGGTTTTGCAGTTACAGAATGTACAGGAAAAGTCAAACTACAGGGTTCCCATCATTAATAACAATTTTTTCAGCACCTAATTACCTGGATGTCTACAATAATAAAGGTAAGAACTTGTATTAATAACTGTATGTAATAATAAAATGAAAATGTCTTACTAGATAAGTCATCTAATATCAACAGTTTTTTGCCAGGTAAGAAATTAAAGGGAAAAAAAAATCCATTAATAGAAATTATATTATGAAGAGGAGCACGTGACATAAATGACTGTCTCCTGTAAGAGTACCTTCAAGCACAAGTATGGGCAAACATTACCTTTGTAAAAATTGTTGCTATTTAGTACTTATGAATGTATCACCTGGTGTTTTTCAGTCAGGCAAGGCTTTCCTCTGCTGTGAGTTTTCATTCCTCTGGTTGTCTTTAGTTTGGGAACTGAGTGAGGAAGGGAGGAAGCATTGATCAGCAGCCTGTGCATAAGGTAGTTTGTATTGTGTGTCATGGCATCTGAGAATCTGATTCTGAACAGAAGAAATTACATGCAGGTGAACTCCAGGAATGTGAATTGTGGTGGGTACCTTGGTGAAGAAAACCTAAATCCACTGTGCTTATAAATCACTGGGAAGAAAATGAGGCATGGAATGTGCGTGTTTTGTGATGGTACAGGCCATAAAGGCTGTGTATGGGAAATCAAGAAAGAGCAAGTACTGATCTAAATACTCATCGCCGTTGGAAGTGTTATTAGGGAAGTGTAAAACAGAAGGAATTAGGTTTTTTCCATCTTCTGCTTAAGATAAAGTTGCACAGAAGAAGCACACTTGATAGTATGGAGAAAGACTTACGTGTCAGAATTACAGAGAAGATCTTAGCTGTGAATTATTCATAGATGAGAACAGAGCTCAACAACAGAAATAATTAAAAAGAAAGCCTGCTGAAATCCAAGTATGACATTAAAGTATGTAATTTCAAGTATGTTGTGAATGATCTCCAAATGTTCAAATAGTGTTCCTTTGAAGAACCACTCCCTCAACTCACGCCACTTATGTAGGGTGATTGACTGTAGAGGAAAAAATGAGCTATTGTTACTTGCGCTCATTGTAAACTAAAGAGAAATAAAAACAGCTTTACATTTTTTCACCATCTCTGTGGATATTGTGTTTTAAGAATTCGTTTTCACTTCATCTGTTCCCAGTATAATGCAAGCTTAAGTATAGGAAAATGCAATCAATGCTTATTTAGCTTTAGCATGCCCCTGTTTTTCTGTTTTGTTTCTCTGTACTTCCCCTTCTCCCTGATCTTCTAGATTTCTGGGGTTTTACTCCAGGTTTACAATGTGGGAGGACACGTATGAAGAATAAAACCTGAGTCTGGGGATGTACTGGATATACTGCTGTTCTGAGTTAGGATTTTGTTGAAGTTGTTGAAATTATAGCTTCTCAGGACCTTTTAAAATCTTTGTTCATTATAGACCTATAATAGGTAGTACAGACTATCGACATGCAACAGTACATGTTAAACTGCAACATGTGCAATAAAAATCTGAAGTTCTCCACTACAAATCTGTCCTCTAAATACCATGAAACAAATAGAATGGAATATCTCCAGGATTATTTTGTCTGTAGTATAAAATAAAGCTAAAACAACCCTGCCGCTTTACATGTGTGTGGTATGCACAAGTTTTAAACACTCTTTTCAAAATGTCTGACTTTTCTTTTAGCTGCTGTATTAAAATATGAAAACAATGTGATGAATATTCGTCAGTTCAACTGTTCTCCTCATCCTTACTGGCTACCAAATTTTATGGATGTTTTCACATGGTCTTTGCCATTTGTTGGAGAAAAAGGTAGGCAAGAGTTGCACGATAATTAATTTTTTTCCTATTTTTCCCAGACTGATATTGGGAAGATTTTTTTTTTTAAATATATTTACCAGTGAGAGATAATTGCATGGTTTTTGTCAAAACAGCTATCTGTATTTGTCTTTATCAGATAGATGATTCGGTAAAGTTGTTAAACTGATTTGGAGGGAGTTTTTGACATGTGAAAATGCCATTTCTGAGAAACGGTAAACTGAAATGCAACTTGATCTACAGGTTTTGGTTGTTCTCTTCACCTGTTTCAGTCAAGATATTTAAATGTGCATCTAATTAAGCAGAGGTGTTAGGAGAAATTATCATTTCGATTGAGGGTTATTAAGTAGTACCTTTGAACTGCATTTGAAGTCAATATGAAAATTGTTCTTATTCTGCAGAATGCTAGGTTACAGACATTAATCGTGTATAGTTACAGGTACAAACTATGTTGAGATGTTCATGTAAAATTTTAACTTTTCTATATAGTTATAACAGATTGACCTTCATTAAAGATAACTTTTTCAGTTATAATTTGTCTTGTAAAAAAGATAATTTAGCACAGATCCTTTTTTTTTTTTTTTTTTCCCCTCTAGAGTTGATAACTTTGAATCTAGGGCATTGGGGCTCCAAGTAGTCTTCAGTTAAAAAGCAATGAGGTTAGAGGCTATTTGGGTCTATTTAAAATCCTTCCATGACAGGAACTGCTCTTTCTGTAAAAGAGATCTGGAAAGCTCTTTAAATTTCTTTTAAAAATATTATTGAGATTACATATTTACAGTCATATAAACCTAGGATTCTAGATTTGTTTATATTTTCTTTATTGAGCAGTTAAAAGCAAGTAATTTGGATGCTTTTTAGTGTGGTCAACACACTCAACAACTTTTTAAATTTTTAAATGGGAGGGACCTGACATTTGAAAGGAGATTTTTGTTTATCCTTCTCTTACCTGATGATGCTGTAGATAACCCTTTGCTGTTGATAATACTGTTGTATTTTGCTTTTGTTATGATGCCAGTAATGAGATACCAAGTACTATTGAGTAAGCTGCTCACTGACCTACTGCTTAAGACTGCTTTAATCATGGCCCTTGTAGTTTGTCTTGCCTTTGGACAAATACATGCTTCCACTTTCGATGAAAGATACAGTGTCAATATTGTCTGGTCGGTGTTGAGCAGATCAAAATCAGAATAATTTTTTTTTTTTCATTAAAGTAGAGAGTAGCTCTTTCCCAAGAATGGAGAAGAATACCGTAGCAAATAACTCAGGAATGGTATGAATTAGTCATGAATAAATGTAGACAGCAATTTACAGGGTTTTTAACCATCTGACTGAACTTCTGGAATAGGTTTTTGAACACTCTGGGGGGAGAAGAAGTTTTCCTGTTTTAAGAAAGAGTCTGATATACATGGGAAAGATTGAGTGGCAGAATAGGGAGATTCCTGGAGAAAGAAAATATGAGATTTATGAGACAAATTTATGTGTGCACTGTGTTGGTATTTTCAAGGGGAGTTTGAAAAGACATGTAATTTGCACAATATCTATATAATAATATTTTTTTGCCTCAATGGTTCTGTTACATGCCTGCAGGTGCCAGGAATGGAGTAGCTTTCTCATTTTAAACCTAAATTTGAGCAATCAAAACAATTTCATATGTAAGTAAAGTTTGCATAAAATGTAGTTCAAATATTTATCCGAATGTAAAAATACTAATATACAAGAAGAAAACTCTTACCTAAAAGAACTGCTTGTAAGATAGGAGATGAAGCTCCTCTGTGTTCTTTGGTTGTTAGGTGGTATAATTTTTAGCTGCTCATTTTTCTGAGCTTTTTAAATTCTGTGACAGTGCACATTAAGAAAAATGTTTTTTTGAAACTGGATTACCAAGCAATGGCTATGATGTGGGGAATTCATTCACTACAGTTGCTGGTCACTAGTTGTATCCTGTGTGCGTGGAAATATTTAAAATTCTACAAGGAATGAATTAAGATGATTTTTTTTTTCTATACAGTAACAGAAATGTTGGTGAATGTTTTGAGCATTTGCTCTGATGATGAACTGATGACAGAGGGAGAAGATCAATTTGACGGTAGGGGTTACTTTAAGATAAATAAGTCTTTTTAATGGTAATAACTTGTGAAACAGTAGTTAACTTAGACTGGTGTAATTGCCTGGAATTTGAAGAAAATTGCTTCAAACTATTTTTAGATAATGATACTTCAGGGGGGGCAGAGAAGGGAATTTTGGTTTTGTGTTTGTGATCAAGAAACAGTAATAGTCATAATGGTCTTGCTCGTAAGCTGGCAGGGCTCATCA